CGAATTGAAAATAAGATAGTATATTCTATAATGAGTAGGGAATAGGGTATATTCTGCTCGAGTGGAAAGTTGGGCTCGTGTGACCGTTCCATGAGCGTTGAATACCTATTCCTCACAAGACATAGACATAATTTTTTCTACTACTACCGTACGTCCGTACTACGCCGAATTGTTGCAAAATATATTGTAAATTTTCAATTCAGTTTTAACAGTAGACAATCAACAAGTACGTCTGTATGTGGTGGGTTGGTACCTATAACAGATCCCTGTGGCATATTCGAGTGTTGCTCGCCTAAATGACTCAGGCACGTCTAAAATGTCACGACATATTTTATCGACATTTGAAGAAAATATGTTGTATATATTATTGAAGGACGTTTCAAATTTCTTTTTTACTGTTTTTTGATCGTTTTTGTCGGTACTAAACCAATTTGGTTCCTAATAATTATCAAATGGAAATTGACTCTCATATCCGATAATAAAGCGAAAGAGGTTCGGCAAATTCTTGGAGAATTCGTGTATTTAATTGCTTTCATCTGAAGTGTTCTTTAAAATTATCCCAAGTCATAATCCAAACAAATAAGAATTACTCAAATTCCTGATCAAACAACATTATTTGTGCACGTAGGTACACTTTAAGTACCAAACTAGCCCGATTACTTATAACATAATGTGCGTTAATTTAGTGGGTAAAATTCAAATTTATTATCATCTTCTAAATTACTGAATATTTAATGATCCTGCGTTGCGTACTTACTGAGGGGTATATATGCGTCATAAATCATAAACGCTGCATTAAACCTAATAAACAGTTCATAAATTTGTCTTGTGGCTTAACACAACTCAAAATTTCACACTTTGTAATTAAAACCAGAACTTACCCATATAAGTAGGCGTTAACGGTATTGCATGCAACTCTTACTTCTATACCGATCTTTATAAAAGTTAGAGACAAATATAATTCAGTAGTACGTATAATAGTTCCATTGTGGTTTAATGGATCCTTAGCGCGCACAGTGGGTAAATGAGTGTATTAAGTTACACAAAATTATAATTGGGAGTATACTTTCTCTAATAATTATGAGTACAGTTGATTTGAAATGATGAAAGTAAAATATTTCGCTCATTATATGAAGTATCACTTAAGTTTTGCTTAATAGTCGGAATATTATGAATAAAAGACTTTAATTAGTTTAATCCCTGGGAGGGTAACTTTAAATTGAAGTAGCAATAAGCAAACATACACTCGGCGCTTTCCATTCAAAAGTTAGTAGAATGAAAGTTCATAGTAATTTTTAGAACGATGCACGCTGTAGTGTAAGGATATAAAAAGTTGACCAAAACCATAATAAATTTTTGTTGGGCTGCTTAACTGGCTCCTGACTATATTTATGTGCGGTAATGAACAGAAAAAAGATATAGAGCAGCAAATTCGAACTTCATTCCATCTGCGGATTATTTAAAGCGAAAATTTAAAAAATCCTTTTAACAAACGCCTTCTATTTGGTTTCGAATTTCTGGACCACAACATACAAGTGATAGTTTGAGACGAATGTAAGTGATCTTGTATTACAATGCATGAAATATACTATTACTATAACCTTGTTACTGCATTGTAATTTCTGTTCAATTTCGATTCACATTATATTATATCAAAAATAATATATAAGTATTGTATATATGTAGCGCCGTTTCCTAGGAAATATATATAAATAAATTATATTTGTCAAACGAAAGCATGTTTTTATCCGCCTTTTTTGGAAGAAGAATATCTGTAATTTCCAACAAGGTTGTTAAACCCAGTAATAGACGATTCTATAGAAACGGGCGCATTCGTGGTTAAAGTGTAATCAAAAGCAGCATGTCGGTTAACTCCATGTTCATTGTACCAAAGTTGGGAAGATTGGGCGTTCGCCGTTGAAAATTGTATGGTGTTCGACGGGCTTTCGAATACACTTGATGGTATACGGACACCACACTGAAAATGTAGCTAAATCTAAAGCAATATTGGATGCTTCGCTTTACGTGCACATAAAAGAAGCCAAAATTGCACAGTGGCTGTGGGACAAACTTACCAGGCAGATACTGGTCTTATTATATAAAAAGGTGTATTAAGGACCTTTATTACGAGTGTATGAAATCCTATGTTAATCAAGTATTAGAAGCATCGCAAAAATCGACGATAATTGGGTAGGCTCATTGTTACTCGTGGAAATGCCTGAGAGATATTCGCTCCAAAGGTAATGGCGGCAGAGAATAGCGCACAAAGTTGGTAGATATGCAGGAAGAAGGCAGTTGTCGCGAAAAAGAAAGCCCTCAAGACAAATTTACAAATTTACAAATGTAAAGTGTTTCCGATGCAAGAAACATGTGAATTGTATGAACAAGTGTCTTAGTAAACGCTCTGGGCATCGATTCCCGAAGTTAGTCGATATGCTCCGTGATGTGCATGTGATGTGACCGGCTGCCATGACGTCATGATCGTATACGATAGGGATAAGTTCAAGTTTAGCTGCATTCCCGAATCGTGGACAAACTTTATGCGCTAACCAATCACAGACAAGAATTGAACTGTCATTTGTCAGTTTTGTATTTTGTTTTGTTTTTGCATTATGGATACTGCTATTAATAACCAGAAAATCCTCGAACAATTCCATGTTTTATTTCACAGAAAATATCTGAATTTATAGGTTAGGGCACTGAATAACCTCTATAGCAAAACAGCTGCAAGATCCGTCCTGTAGCTGCAACTGCGCATGACTTTCACGCAACGAGTGGTCTAGACCAGTCGTTGCGTTCGATCAACTTTTCGCTCGATGTGGTAGGTTCGAGAATGCAGTGACATTCACGTTTACATCAAGGTCAGTCGATGTGAACAAAGCACATCTTCGGGAATCGACGCCCTGATATTGCTACGAAATTTAACAAGTCAAGTGAACAGGTACCTAACACGTTCAGTACAGTCTTTATGAACGGGAACTGATCGGACTGATATGTGGACGTCGGGGCGATTTACATCTGACCGCTCGCAAGCACTGGCTTGGGCATTTTTGTGTGGATATACCCTTCCAATAGAAATAATGTCAGCAAACAAATCCTCCACGTTTAATTGCGCCCAAACTCAACACTCTTTACCGCGCTTACAAACCAATAGAAATCCACCATTTTTCTTTGAAAATCGACTAGAAAAACAGAGTAACTAACTTATACAGTCACAATAAATCCCAAAAAGGTAGATAAATAATGTCGAGTAACAACTGTGGCGTGTACGTTATCACGAGTAATGGCACATAATCTGGTTTGGTACAAAGAAGTGCGTTCGCCGAAAAGAATTAGAGAGAATTCTGCACGACCTCGGACGGCAAAACAAAAAAAACTATTGTAATAATAAACCTTTAATTTCGAAAAATAAAGAACTAGGTAAAACAACTCTACTACTACTACAAAACTAGTTTATATCTAAATTTCTAAAATATTATTTAAATAACGAGAGTAAGAATTTAAATAACAGCAGAAATCAAAGGTTTCTTAAACGGTATTTAAATCAGACATTTCCATCGGTAAGAAAATAACGTACTGTTGTCAGTTCAGCGTATTTACGTACGTACATATTTACTAGTATAACATGGTTACAGTGAATTAGTAACCTTTCTTATATTCCTCCCACCATTTTTCCAAATAAACCAAGAGTTCGAAAGAGCTAGCAGGTTAGTGGAAAGGACACTAAACAAAGACACAGAAGGGTATATTATGACCGGGCAAGATTAAGTGCTCCATATTCCGTATAACGTCGCAGACATTCTAATACGGGGCAGAGATTTAAGGTATTTGTTAGGGAGCTACGCCGCCAAAAATTTGAGTTGCTTCAATTTTGTCTCAGCAACCATAAGACATCGGAAGATAGAATTAAAGACTGGGTTTGCATGTTTCAAAAATTTTCGCAAAATTCCTAGTGCAAAGATGGCGGACCCCTGAACGAAAGCGCAAACTGTTCTCATCTCGACACATTTTTAGTATCTGGGTATCTTAAAAAATGCAAATAAAAATACCAAACTTGGTTCCTTTAACTGTTAAAAACAAGTTTTAAATCAGCATAATGCATAATTAAAACGCATTTTTAGTAATACAGATCAATATTTTATTACCCAAGTTTAAAATTATCGAACTCACGAGTAATCTAACTTAAAATAGATTAGAATCTGCACATCTACACTATAGCAGAAAGCTTTTAATGAAAATTTGAAGTCTCTCGCTATTGTAATTGCTGAGATCGCAGCTAACCAGGCAGCCAGAAATAATGAATTTAATAGCGTATATTTTTTTTCAAAAATGCTCTAAACATTTTCAAATGCAGTGCTTGGCATTACAACAACAAAAATTCGGCTAATGTCGCTAATATGCACTGGACTGCTAGAGATGCGTTAGGCTTATCCACAACGCAAGATATTTTTAATTTGAAGCACGGTGTATATAACAAAAGCATTCATTACACACGACTTCGTAATATTTCTCTCTCTCTCTAGAGTATGGAAAAATAGATAGTACCCTAGGTACATATCAAACACACATGTCTCGAACAGGACTATTGATTTTAAAATAATTGGTTACCAAAACAATAAAATTTTCGGAATTTTAGTTATTTGCACAGTGCTTGGAATCGCGTAAATTGTTTACCCTATTCTTGACGATTGCGTAAGTATTCACCGAATTCATTTCCGTAACGGCGGTTGTTTACACACCGTGCTAATACAGTTCACTTTATTGCCTCTTTGGTGTAGATATTTTTTAAAGGTAAATAATAATTAACATCGCTGGCATTCGTGCACGTAAAAGATTTATTCGACTTTGTATTAAGTCTATTAAAAGACTAAACTCATTTTCTACTTCGATTTACAGCATGACCAATAATGATAACCCCCCTGTGTTTTAAATGAAGTGCTCTGTAAATTTTATTGCAAATTGGAATAACTGGAAAAATTCGCTCAATTTAATATGACGCTTGTAAATGCGACAGATTTTCGGATTTCAAACTGATTGCACGGACAAAGGGATTACGTAACAATGTAATCCGTAAAAGATACAATTGCTAGATTTTGAAAATTGAAGGTATATATTTAGTGAAAGATTAAGAGAAACTTTAATACATTTCAGCATCAGCCCATTAATCTTTAATTTGGAAGAGATTGCAGAGTACGGGGATAGCCATGGAATTGTACGGCATACAGTGGAAAGAAAAGGTAAATGTTTCATATATTATTTAATTAAAAGTCTGATGTGGGAAAACTTTCACCAACAAGCAAGTAGGAGTTTTCGTAATAGAGTTTCATTTGTTGTAATACAGTTTCAGGACAATCAGTCTCTATTTTTTAGGCTTCCGGGATTATTAATCCTGCTTTGTGCGGTCGTTATACGAAAAGCCACAAAGGATTTCCTTTCGGTGGAAACTTACCGTTTAAAGTATTAGGTACACACTACATTTGTTGTTGCAATACACCGAGGCCTAACAACAATTTTCTTAAATAATGTAGGTATAGCGATGTATGCTCAGTATCACTTTCGGTTAACAAAGGTCATTCTTAGCACATTTTGTATGAATGAATATGTGAACTAGCAAGATTACCACTATCCGAGTAAACGGCGATCAAAGTCAACATAACGTACGCCATCCTACAAGTGTCAAGTTTATGCCACAAAGTAACCTCTCCGATAGACGCCACCTAGCTACGTCGGACGTTTGAACGACGTTATATCCTACACTACATGCCATAGGATGTTCTCTAACAAGAATAGAAATTGAGTGGATATCTCACACACAACTTCTCTTATTTAGATTCAAAAGTCTATGTCTCGGAGTACGGGTAGCTTAATGCAAAATTTGGTGCTTGTATCCGGCTAGTAAATATAAGCTACATATTTGTCATATTTGGCAATAAACAAATTATATTCTTACAACTTGCTTTTTTCAACTATGAATTCTACTAAATTGTAATGAAATTATTTTTGTCTATTCAGCCACTTTTAGCAGTTGTAATTTCCTACGGTGAATGTGGATGGATAGTGTTGGATTCTTAATCAGTAAAAGGTGATTAATTTTTTCTCTATTTACATTCCCTATTTAGTTTAGGGAGAGAGAATTGGAGGCAAACACTTTCATTAAACGTAAGTTTAAGAACTCGATTTTTTGCCACGGCGTGCATGCATGCGAATATCCAGCAATTGCATACACTGGTTACGCATCTGATTGGTTCTTTCAATTTAATTTCAATGCGATCGCTATTGCTTCTGTTGCAAGAACCAATCAGATGCGTAACCGTAAGAGACAGTTTGCCATCTTAGTTTTCCCCTCTCTCTCATCTGCAGTATCCGTGGCACGCGCAGTCCATTTATGATGTCGATGGTCTTATCTAATGACTAATTTTTGTTTCAGAGATCTCGTACCTCGAAGACTCCGGCTCAAATATGGTAGAGGACGGAGCAGGCACTTGGTGGCCTTCTCAGCCTATATCTCGTAAGAGACTCCACCTAACAGAGAGCTGTCCGATTTGATAAAGTACTGCTACTGCCGAAATGGTGGGCTCCTTGCGGTTCGCAGTGATGCAACGCAAACCATGTTGTGTGGGGCAGCACGGGCACGAACTCGAGGAGTCGGGAGTCCTTGCAAACAACTGATTCGAATGTTTTAAATCAGGGATCTGACGTTGGGCTCTTTTTCAATAGCGCACACGATCACGAGTTGGAGGGTGTCTGATGAGCCATCGCTTTCCGCCTACAAGTACATTATGTGGAGAAACTGTTAGAGCGCTTAGATGAATCACGTTTCCCTATCGAAAAACGGGGCAGGTGGAAGAGGCGGCCGCATTAGTAAGCGATACCATAACAGCGTCATATGAAGACACCTGTAAACTGCGGACCTTTCGAGGAAGGAAGAGAACACCTTGGAAAAGGTCCGTAAGGAGTTTTCTCTTGAAAGACTCGGAACAAAAATTGGGAGCACTGAGGCTTCCATGCGGCAGATATACGCTCACCGAGGCTCTCACATGTGCCCTGGAAACACAACAAACTTTCCAGGCGCTGGAGACTAAGGTCCTTGGGCGAGGTCGAGAACAAAGCTTTTAAAAAAACAACGAACATTGTCCTTCCCCATTTCCAGTTTTCTTTAATTACGTGTAATTAATATATTCTAGAAGTGTGACCAGTTTAGAAGACTTAATTTTGAAATAATTGAAGCTAAAAGTGAATAGCGAATGTCTACAATTTTGTGAAAAACGTGCTTCTCTTCAAAAAAAACTACAAAACAACTGGAGATAGGTACGTAAAAAATGCTACAGCATCCAATTGTAGCTTTTTTAATTCCAAACCGGCAATTTTCTGTACGATCACGACCTTGTTTTAGCCCTTTAAGCTCACCCCATTTTAAAACTAAGGGTTTTAAATGGATTTGATGTAAATGGCCTTGTAGCTCTTGTAAAAACCTACAAAATGCTGCGTATTGCGCTTTATATCATAAAAAATAAAGGAGTTATGATTAAAAAACGATTTTTTTTCGAAAAATTCTGAAAGCACAAATTGGAGCACGATGATCTACATGAGCGGTGTATATTTCGTATACATTAGAAACTTACATACATACTTACGCCTATACATTTAAATGAAGAGTGTTTTTTTCTATTAGAAAATAGGCTAACAAATTCAATATGACACCACTCGAGATTATATCGATACGATTATACGTGCGCGGCTGCCCGGAACTTTTCCCTTTGCACAAATACACAAACACTCCTCTTCTCTATGAACTGTTTAATGTTTATATCAACGTTTGATACACCATCTATCAGGAGATTGAACACCATACTTTGTTCGAAATGCACACTGAACAACTGTCGTCAATAAAAAATTATTAACTTTTTGAGAGTAAATACTTTTTTTATTAAACCACAATAAGGGTTAATTTTTAAGGGTGGAAATATTCTGAGAGAATGTTGCAAAGCTTCTAACAATCAATACTCGACTCATCTGAACCAAATTTTTCTCACCTTATGTAGATTTATGGGTTTTGGAAAAAAAGATCAGTTTTCACCCCTAAAAAATGAAGAGCGTCCATCGGCATAATATAGATTTTGAAGTGGAGGGTAAGTTGAATTTAATCCCAAATTTTCATGCAAATCGATGCATTTCTAAAAAATTGACAGGTTTTATACTATTTTAAGTTTCGTTTCCTGGACTATTGAGAGTGTTCCATTTACGAATAGAAGGAGAGCGGACTTTGATGAGCTCACTCCTCGAGGGCGCCAACTGAGTTTGACCAGGTCAGTGAAATATTTCGGATCATCTTTCCGTCTGGCCTGGAAAGGGCACATCATTGACTAAATAAGCAAAAAAGCCACTGCATGTCTATGGACACATAGAAGGGCCAATAATACTGTACGGTGATCTACAATGATAATAATAATAATAAATAATAATAACAGACATAGACACTAATCGTTACTTGATTTTAATCCGTGCGATTAGTTAACCAGGCTAGACCTGAGCTCTCACAAGAAACACCGACCATAATAATAATAATAATATTGTAACGTGATTTATAAATTCGGGTTCGATTTATATCAATATTTATTAAACAAAACTAAAACACTATAAAAACTGTACAATTTGTATCGACTATTTATATCACACACTTCGCAATTTATATTTCCGCGCTCTATGTTTCATCCGTACTCGATCTCGTTCGGTAGTAGACTGCCGCGATGTTCGGTCCGCAACCATTTATACACGCAAGCAATGTAAGTCCAGAACATTCGCGTAATTACCAGATACGTTGCAAACATTCCCACTATCGCACGCCTAGAAAATTCCAGAGCGCCAAAGGCGACGTCATGTCTGGAGCGTTTCCGTTACAATATATTTATCATGTTAATGTGCGGAGCACTTACATTGGTCATTGTAGAAAAAGATATAGGTATAAGACATTACTAATACAAAAACATACATACTACCACAAACAGTTCGAGCAAACATATAACACAATACATGCGCAGGGCAACCTAAGGAACAGAGACTCGTGGAGGACGAAGTTCGGGAGTTTTCCATACGGATAAACGATCGGAGCGAGTGGAAGGATCGAAGCAGCCTTGGCTACTAATACCCTGTTCCCGGACAGGGAGAAGCGGCTGAACTCAGATTGCCGGTTCCTCAAACCTGAGGGGGGGCATTTGGTTTACAAACGGGCCCCTAACGGAAAGGGAGAACGGCCAGGGTATACTCGTATATGATAATCGAATTAGAGCAGACACTGGCTTCTCCTTTGGTCAGCATATCATCGGTTTCAGGAAGAGCCATCACGATCAGTGCACAGGAGAACCTCCGGAGAGCTAAGCATATATACATATGCAATGACAGTCAGGCGACGCTGAGGGCCTTGTCAGAGACAGGTTTCGATCGACTACGGCGTTTGATTGCAAGCGAACTATACATAGATGAGATGAGTCTAATAGGGTAAGCTGGTTCTGGGTGACCGCGCACTACCGAATAGGGGGAACGAAAGGGCGGACGAGCTGGCCCGTGAAAACAGTGGTGAGGTCTTCGTCGGACCCAAGCCTACTTTAGAAATTTATTCCTCCGGATTAAACACTGGGTGGCCAGAAGGTGTAAAGTGTGCCGGTTTGATCGGAAAGAGTTATCTGGAACCGAAAAGAGCGAAGCAACTTTCGCTAAACAGGGTCCTATCCTTTATTGAGAGAAGCGGGAACTGAATCCAGTTACGAAAGAAAGGATGTAGGCACCATGAATGATCGGTATGCCTACGCGCTTATCCCCTTATGAATAGCATAGAGTACAGACTCTTTGGCCATTGGATTACATTTGTTAAATAATCAAGCAATCTAAAATATCCGTGTTAAATAATATTACAATAACAGTTCTTGGTGTGCCCCTCTAGGAAACGTTTATCAAACGTATTATAGATTATTTGGGCTTTACGTAAATGCACGAAACGTGTCCAGGATCCGGTTCAACGTGTACCAAATATTATGGAAACATTGGTTTAAAGCTATAATGTTGCATAGCTTCTAATACATCGCCTAGGGTATTTCCCGTGTTGTCTATTTTTCTTTTAGATTAGTGTTATAAAATCCATTTCGCTCTTACACTGTGTGACGTAAGGCAAGGAAGTTGTTATGAAATGTTTCTGAAGGCTATTGTTGTAAAAGCCGCCCTAAACTGCCGCTGTACGTGAGTAAGGGTGTCAATTCTACATGTCTGGTTCTGTAAATGGAGTAAGTGTAATACTGATGGTGTTTTAACGTTGTAGTAGAAAAAGGTTACTCCACATGGAATAAACAATCTATAATAATGATAGTCGCCATTCAAAGCAGAAAAAGACTGAATAAGTATTTATGACTAAGGTTATCCGCCACAAAAGCTTTTGTAGTTTAGGTAATTTACAAGCTAACTCAAAGGTACACTTACATGCACACATGTATATAGTTATTTACGCACGACATACCGAGTCCAATTATGAGGAACATTAAAGGTAATACAAAGTGAAAAGTTACAACTCAACGAAAACTTAACATTCAAGTTACACAAGTAGCAATTATTGGGATTGAAGAAAACAGATTCCAAGAAAATCTAATCTATGATCTAGTATTCATACTTACACTTCTCCTGTAAATATTTAATTCCCAAATTGTATGTCATTAGAGCACCATTTCATATTCCTCGATGTCGTTTTCATGGGCTTGACCGACAAGTCGAAAAGTAAGCACCCGAGACAGAATTATGGAGAACTGAAAATTCGATTACCTACAATTTTGTGTACAATATTTATAAATAATTTGTTTAGCGCGCATGATTAATGTTCGATACATTACGTGCTATAACTCAATTTTCCCTTACATAATCTAGAAACGTTCCCTCTTTGATGAAGTTCATAATCCGAAAATTGACTACAGCAGGTGTTTTAAAGGGGCTGGCAATTTTTCTGACAGTACTTAATTAAAACTGACCCGGAGTTCAACGTGTTCGCTAACATTTTACATAATTACAATGAAGATTATGGAGTTACACTGTTTCACCCGCTAGACGTTACATATATTAAATATGATGATAAAGTATTCCCTATTGTTTGCCACTT